GTCACAGGCACTGGCAACCCCAGGCCCACAGCCTGATGATGATTTCCAGCCCAGACAGCAGCAACACTGGGTCCCGGGGAAGCTGGAGACACCAGGACAGCAGCCCAGCTCGGCTGCCTTCTGGCCCAGACCACGGCAGGTAATCTGAGGACTTTTCCACTACCCCATCTGTGACCACCCCCACTGCTATTTTTTAACCTCCTTTCAGGGAATGGAGAGGCTGTATGAACATCATCCAATTTGGGAGGGATGAGAGCGGGGGAGGGAGAAGTGCCTGATGGGAAAGTCCTGGTCTGTATGGTTCAAGGAGTGACCTTGGAAGATTGGAAAGATGAAGAATCAGAAGAGTCGGATTTCCAACTGTTAAGAGAGTGTCGGTGTGGGTAATGGAGACAGACAGATATGAGATAAACAATGAAAAAGAGATGGGACGAGGAGTGGGGAAGAGAGAGAGAGACAGAAAAACTTGGGAAACAGAGTCCAAGAGACCCTTTAAAAATGGTCCCAAACCTGGCCAAAGAGTATTTTAGCAAACATTTCTGAAATAGACCCAATAAACTACTGCTTTTAATAAAAGACTTGGTTTAGTGCTGTCGTCAACCCTAGCTGGTGTGCCTGAGGCACAGTGAAGCCACACACACTCAGAGTGTGGAGCAGAGAAGGGTTTATGGCAAGGCCAAGCAAGGAGGAGGGGAACTCCTGCTCAGAAGACCCAAACTCTCCCACGGCTCGGAGGGAAGCGTTTAAAGGCAACATCTGGGGTGGGGGCTACAGGGTGCGTGATTTTCTGATTGTGTGGCAGTGAGGGAACAGGTGATGTTTCGGGAACCCCAATGACCAGCCTTCCAGTTCCAACCAGTGTGGGGTCTAGTCCTTGTGCTCATCAGATGATCACCAGTCAAGAGCAGCGGCCTGACCTCTGCGGCAACCAGAAACATCCCTCCGCCACCCCAGAAATCTGCTTTGGACAAACCACTCCGGTTATTTCCAGAGAGTGGAGGAGGGATGAGGGTACCAGCAAGGTAAACGAGCCCTGCAGGGACCGAATAACACAAGCTCCAGCTATTAAGAGGCTAGAATGAGGAGGGCAGGCACCTTGACGTGCCCTTTAGCAACATGATGCTGGAATCCAGGTGAGCCTGTTTCCAGCCTCACAGGTGGCTCAGCAATGGCAGATCCCGAACTTACTGAATAAACAGGCAGGTCACCTTCCTCAGCAGGGGCCCAAGGTGTGGCCTCAGTGATCTGCGGCTGAAGCAGCCACGCAATGGCCTGGTCCAGATGAGCCAACTAGGTTCCCGGTTCCACTGGAAATTAAGCAATAGTGCTCCTGTCTGAACCGGTGAAAGCATTGCTTTTGCAAGTCACCTTCAGTCACAAACCGAGAGGCTTCCCTTTACTTGTTATCTGTGACCTTGGGCAAGGCACTTTGCCCTTCCAAGCCTTGGTCTCCTCAGCTGTAAAATGGGCACAGTGGCCCCTGGTCTCTTATAGGGCTACATGAGGGTCTGACAAGGTGGTGCATCAAAACACAGAGCAGCAGCTGGCAAGTTCTCCTGATTCAGTCATGTGATTTACAAGATTCAGCCCAGCCTGACACACATTACAATCTCCTAGTAACTTCCAGGGGCTTCCTTTGGACAAAGCAACAAGTAAGCTTCCCTGAGAAGAAGGAGGAACTCAGGGGCTCAAATAGAAGATAAGACTTACACTGGCAGGCAGCCCATCCAGTGTCTTGCACCAGTCACTCCTGGTGTCATTCTGCCCAGAACAAGGAGCCCAGACTAATGGCGGATTGAGTTCTAAACACTGCTGGTCCCTCAGCCTCTTCTACGTCTGCCTGGAGGCTCCATCCTCAGCAGTCCTAACAATCTGGCTCCAGGCAGTGAGGCAAGAGCCCATATGTGATTCCTGGGGCTTTCCACTGTTATTTCAGAAGCTTCCAGAAATCTTTCAGGCAGGGCTATGATAAATGACCCCTTCCTTCTTTCTAAGACTGTCATTAAAGATGCTCCACAGAACCCATCAATAAAGACACTCCACAGGAACCTGCAGGCTCTTCCTAATCACAAAGGCAGGAAGTGGGGCTCAAGAGGGAGACATGCTTTTCTGCTTTTGAGTTTTCCTAGCATAATAGGACCACAATTACAGGGTCAAGAGAGAACCTTGAAAACCCACTTCGCAGGTCTATCAAAAACAGCTCTCATGGGACTTCCCTGGTGGTCAAGTGGTTAAGAACCTGCCTGCCACTGCAGGGGACATGGGTTCAATCCCTGGTCCAGGAAGATTCCTCATGCTGTGGGGCACCGAAACTGATGTGCCACAACTACTGAGCCTGTGCTTTACAGCCCGTGCTCTGCAACAAGAGAAGCCACTGCAAGAAGCCCACACACCGTAACTAGAGAAAGCCCCCCACTCAACACAGCTAGAGAAAGTCCGCTCACAGCAACGAAGACCCAGCACAGCCAAAAATAAATCAATAAACAAGCAAACAAAAGAACTCTCCAGGGACTTCCCTGGCGGTCCAGTAGTCAGGACTCCATGCTTCTACTGCAGGGGGAATGGGTTCCAGTTGTGCTTTCCTGTGACAGAGGAGGCGGCAGGAGCCATGTCCTGAAGATCTTGCCCACTCTCCTTCCAAGGGCAATGGCCAGCATCTGCCCCTTTCTGGATGGCCCCACTGAGGGGGCAGTGCAGTGGCTTCTGGATGTGATGCTTAGTTCAACCCAGGAGGTAACTATTCCTGCATCTAACAGGGCTAATAATCTGGGATTCTTATCCCAGGAGGAAACCATCTGTCCTCACCCAGGGCTAATAATCTGGGATCCTGATCCCAGGTCTGGGTCTTCATCTGTCCCCAGTCATATCTGTCATGATTGTCATGATTGACTCCTCTGGGAACCTCATTAAGCTCAGAGTTCTTGGTGAATAGGAGAGACTAGAACAACATGACAAATATACACTTTCTTTTCTGCTTCATTGATTTCTGCTCTCATTGTACTGTTTCCTTCTATTTTCTCCCCCCTGGGTTTTATTTACATTTTTCCTAGCTTCTTAAGATAGAAGCTTAAATTATTTAATTTTTAGCCTTTCTTCTTTTCTAGTATTTGTATTTCAGCCTATAAATTTCCTTGTGAGCACTGCTTTAGCTGCACAAAGTTTGATGTCACATTTTCACATCTCTTATTTTTAAGATCTATATTCTGCTCTTCCTTGATATATTAAAATAATCAGACCAAGCCCTGAATTTCAACTTAAACCACAATGTTCACCACAGAGTTCTCACTTTATTTCCAGAACTACTGGGCTTCAGACTCTGCAAAAAGATTTGAAAGAGTGAATATTCTGAGGAGTTTAGGTTTTCAAATGCCACAGAAGAGTCAAAAGAACAGTTTGATGACCCTTACCTTTTGTTTTGGATGTACAATTTCAACTGAATAAAAATTGCAAACATGGGACTTCCCTGGTGGTCAAGTGGCTAAGACTCCACACTCCAAGTGTAGGGGGCCTATGTTGGCTCCTTGGTCAGGGAACTAGATGCCATATGCTGCAACTAAGAGTTTGTAAACCACAACTAAGAGTTTGCATGCTACAACTAAAGATTTGACATGTCACAACTAAGACCTGGCATAGCCAAATACATAAATATTAAAACAAAAAAACTGTAAACATGATTTCTGGAAATGAAACTAGTAACTCATGCAAGTAAGGTCTTCCAATGCCTGCAGAACAGCCTTACTATAAAAAGCACATTTGGGGGATTCCCCTAGTGGTCCAGTGGCTAAGCCTCCTGGATTCCAATGCAGGGGTGCAGGGGGCCTGTGTTCTATCCCTGTTCAGGGAACTAGCCCCATATGCTGTAACTAGGAGTTCACATGCCACAACCAAAAAGATTCTGCGTGCTGAAACTAAGACATGAAGCAGCTAAACAAAAAGTAAAAATACTTTGAAAATAATAAATAAATTTAAGAAAGCAAACAAGAAACACATTTTCAAGTTTACAGAAAACCTGCCAACACTACATTTCATTAAGAGCTTAGAAATAGAAACCACTTGCATGTTGCTGATCTAGACTTATTACATTTATTTCATGTCATTGTGGTCACTTTTACAGCAGTTGAGATTTATTTTCAATTACACTATTGTTCACAGAATTCACAGAATTCATTAACAAACATCCAAAGGTTTTTCAGTAGCACAGCAAGATAGAAAAGAGGTGCTTCGGAGTGGAACCCGAGTCTGACTATTTAGATAGATGTCTAGAATATTATTGCTTTATTAGTCTTGTGTTGTTTTTTTAATAATAAATTATTCCCAGGAACCGCCCCCCCGGCCAGGGAATCTCTGTACTGCACTACCCAGGCTCACGTGAGACATAACCGGACCCAGGGTGCTGGGCAAATCAGCCAGCTGTGTTCTCTGCTGCTCTGCAAGCTGGCTGAGGCAGGCTGTGTCTTCTGCGTGTATACTTCCTCCAGCCTGCGGTGTTCCTCCATGGTCCTGCAGTTGATGGGCGGCAGTCACACATGGGATATAAAACTTAAATCAGACATAAACAAGGGGCTCGGTGAAGAGGGGGCTAATGCTCCTAAAAGAGCCACTGACTATGCACAGGAGAATGTCTGAGCAACAGAAACACCTGGAATCTCAGTCTGTGAGGAACATCTTAAAGGAAATGTCCTCAGTGGTCCAATGTGGGCGCTCTGCAACATAAATGTAAAGACTTCTGGGTAGATTTCATGGATAGGTTTTCTTTTATTGTTCCATGTGAATTTGCATTTTGTGAAAAAACATCTTGGAGATTTCTTCACGGCCCCTGAGGCTCTGTGGATCTAGAGAGACCAGGGCTGGAGCCGGGGCCGGCTTCCTCAGGGACAGGGGCGCTCCCTCCGCATTTGGGGCAGGGTCCCTGAGAAGTGGTGGCCGTGACAGGTTCTGAAGACGGGAGTGGAGGCTGGGTGTGGAGCTCAGGGTGTGGGGCTCAGGCTGCGGCCGGGGCCTCAGTCCAGCTTCTTGCTGCTGTCTGTGTTGTGTACAGAAGCTAAGAAGTCGACAAGGAGCTTGGCTGTCTTCCTGGGCCTCTCCATCACCACCGAGTGGCCACAGTTTTCCAGGAGCTCCACCTGGGAGTTGGCGATTGACTTGGCCAACATGTCTGCCCCGGACACATCGAGCACCTGCAGGACAAGAGAGGAAACTGGATGGAAAGGGTTCAGGTGCCCGAATGCACTCCGTGGACAGAACTCCTGTCCAGGCCTGGCAGGGGTGATTTTTAGAACCAAGTCACTTTGGTGTCGGGGCTTGTGGCTCTCTGATGGAAGTGACCATGTGCCTCATGTCTGACTCTGCAGCTCGGTGCTAGGAGGTATGCTGCTGCAGTGTTGCCGCGCTGGAAACACAGGCCCTGCCCTAAGGATGCCCTGGTATGGTGGGGAAGCCAGACTGGAAAGCAGACAAGTGCAGCGCAAGGTGGCGAAGACTCTGATGGGGGAGAATCCGGGGAGCTGAGAAGCCACAGGGGAGGGGGATCATGGAAGAGGGACCAGCACAAGGGTGGGAGGACACGGCACGTGCAAGGGACAGCAAGGAGCCCAGTGCTGCGTGAGCGGGGAGGGCGGGCCTGTGCATCTGGCCGTGCCGGGAGTCATGCTCAGTCTGAGGGCAGTGCGGAGCCCCGGGGCTGTAATAAGGACGGTGACGTGATTGGGCTGGGCCCGGAGAATGCACCCTGCAGCTGGTCTAGGGGAGGCCAAGCTGTGGGGAGGCCACAGGAGAGATGCAAGACGGGGAGACGAATTATCACAAACCAGAGGACTGGGTCCTGAAGGCCCTCAGCGGGTCCCCGAGCTGTGTGACCTCAGGCCCTGAAGTGTGTGAAGAACAGCCAGTGCTTTTCTAACATGAAGCCCACCACTTTCCCAGGTTTTCAAACTCCCTTTCCTTTTCACCTGGGTTACACCTTGCTTTTACCACAACTCAGTTAACTGACTTTCTCCTCCTTCAGGGTCAGATTTATATTCGCCCCCTTCGCTTCACTGCTTTCACCTTCACGTCACCTCCCCGACCCCAGACAAAGGCGGCCCCTCCACTCCGGCCTTAACACCGACAGCAAAATCCCAACAAATTCGAGCACTGTCTGCTTCTGAGCTTCATTCTCCTCACCCCAGACTGGTGATACCAAGATTTGCCGCCCACCAGGAAGTGGGGTGAGCGGAGTGCAGAGCACCCCGGGCTGAGAAAACGCAAGATGGAACAGCTGATGGGGAGCGTGACGCGATCCCGCCTCTCCTGCTGGGCCCTGAGAGCGCACATCACCTTGGGCATCTGAGACGAAGAAAGGCCTTCATTGTTCCGACTCTCATCTCTGCCTGCTGGCCCAGCCTGGGTCCCGCTTCTCCGCCCAGGCATCCACAAAGCTGTTCTCAGCCCCTCGGCTGCTGTGAAGGGAGCACGTGCGTTCTCCCTCCTCCTGATGCCCTGGTTCCCGCGCTGGGCATACCAGCTGATGCTGAGATGGCTGCACGCTGGCGCCACCGCCCTGCCTGCCCCTGCGCCGGGGCACAGACCTGGCTTCTCCCCAGTCTCCTCTCCTGGGCCTCCCACAGTCGTGGGCAGTTGCGGTGCAGCCTGACTTCCTGTCTGTGCTCACATCACACACGTGGTGGGCATGTACAGTCTGCTCGGGGCTCACAATGGTGGCTTTCACCTCAGCGTCCACAGGGGAGCTCTCTCAACACGGAGAGCTTTGCTCCCATTTCCCTTCTCACGACGGTCAACAGCGTGAGACGACCAGATACCCTTTGATAGACACTGTAATTCTGTCTACCTGCGGGCCTTATAAAGGCTCCATTTCCCACCACCACCTCTTATTTTAAACTTTTCAAGAACATTCAGTAAGATATGATTTCTAAAGAACGGTTGCAAACAGAAAGGGAGTTTCCGAAGTATAAGTCAGTATTTCATTGGCAGGTTTATTATGGATGGACTGTGCCCCCTCCCCAAATTCATATGCTGAAGTTCTAACAAAATGTGGCTTTACTGGGATACAGGATCATCGTGGACGTAATTAGTTAGGATGATGTCATACTGGAGCAGGGTGAATTCCTAATCTAGTATGTGGACCCCTAATCTATCATAACTGGCGTCTTACAAAAATGAGAGGTTTAAACACAACATCATGTGAAGATGAAGGCAGAGGTCAGGGTGAGGCGTCTACAAGGCACGGAACACCAAAGTCCCCCAGCAAACTCCCAGGAGCTCAGGGAAAGGCCGGGAACAGGCTCTGCTTCCCAGCTCCCACCAGTCACAGCAGGAACCAGTCTGCTGCGGCCTGGGTCTTGGACTCATAGTCTCCAGAACTGGTGTTACAGTGTTAGTCGCTCAGTCATGTCCAACTCTTTGCAACCCCACAGACTGTAGCCCACCAGGCTCCTCTGTCCATGGAGTTCTCCAGGCAAGAATACTGGAGTGGGTTGCCAATTCCTTCTCCAGGGGATCTACCCGACCCGGGGGTTGAACCCAGCTCTCCTGCATTGCAGGCAGATTCTATACCATCTGAGCCACCAGGAAAGCCCCTAGTGTATCTGTATGCCAGAACTGGCAGCCAACTTAATTCTGTTGTTTAAGCCTCCCAATTTGTAGTACTTTGTTATAGGAGGCCTAGCAAACTAACAGAGCCATCAAAAACTTGTCATAATTTTAAAATGCACAAAGCCTTTGATCAAGCTATTCCACATCCAAGAATTGACCCTTCAGATAGGCTCTCACACTGCAAACACACATGTACAATGATGCACATCACGGTGTGGTTTAACAGCAAAAAACTGAAAGAGACCTAAAGTGACCATCAGTAGGGCACTAATGCAGCAGATAATGGAGTACTATGCAGCTCCCAAAAAGAACATAAAATTTTGTTTTGGGCAACAACCTCATGGATGGTAAATCTAGAGGGAAATGTTTGATGAGGACCAGGATATCCACATGGTCTCAAAGTACCTCCCCACAGACTGCTTATTAGTTGCAAAGGGAGAAATAATATCTATGATGAAGAAATCAGATATCACAATCAATCAAAATTCCCATCACTGGGATGTCCCAGGCTGGCCAGAGGTTAACAGGCTTCCACTGTCTAGGGCACAGTTTCAATCCCTGGTTGAGGAACTAAGATCTCACATGCTACACAGTGCAGCCCCCAAAATAAATAATAGTTTAAAAAATTCCCACCACTGAAGGAAAGATATTCTCCTTCTGAGGATGTGAAGTCTTATTACCCATGAGATACTCTGGCCAGGGATATGTATCCCGAATTTAATCATGAAGAAACAGCCAACAAACTCAAACTGAGGAACATTTTGTAAAATAACTGGCCCGCACTCTTCAAATATCTCAGTGTTACAAAAGATAAAGGCACAAAGAGGGCATCATTTTATATAAAAGGAAACTAAAAAGACATGATACGCAGTATGTGATCCTGGTTACAGGGGCAGGCGGAGGATCATTCTATGTAGGACATCACTGAAACAAGGAATAAATTTGAAATATGGACTGTATATTAGTTAAAAGCTATGGTATCAATGTTACATGTCCCAAATGTGACAATGTACTGTGATCATGTGAGATAATCTGGTTTGTAGTAAACACACCTTGAAGCATTGGGGGTAAAGGGACATGATATAAGCAGCTTACTCCAAATGGCCCCAAAACACATATTTCTAGATCTGTCTAGATGAGGTGGTAAATGTTAAAAGGTTGGTAATAAGTAAGATGTGGTACATACATATCATGGAATGACACTCAGCAATAGCAAGGAACAAATTGTTGGCATAGGTGACGATATGGATGAACCTGAGAAACATCACGCTGGAGTGGAAGAAGCCAGATGCAAAAGACTACCACTGTAAAATATCATTTTATGGAAATTTTAGATAACTAAATTCTAGACAAGACTTCAGAAACAGAAAGCAGGTCAGTGGTTGAACAGTGCTGGGGCAGGAATGGAGATTAACTGCAAATGGGCAAGAGAGAACTTACAGGAGTGACAGAGGCGTTCTACAACTGGGCCACAGTGGGGTGTGCAACAAGGTAAATTTTATAGCACATGAATTTTTGAAAAAGCAGTTAAAACTGATGAAACTAAGTAAAGTAGATACAGGAGTACTCTGTATTTTTTTTTTTACAATTATCCTGTAAATTTGCTATTCTTTCAAAATAAAATATTTAAAGTACTAGAATGTGTGGATCTCTTCAAGCTGATATTAAATGATTTCCAAGATACATATTTCTCATATATATGAAGCAATTAAGGTGCGAAACTGTATATACTGCATGTTTGAAAATCTTATACATAACACTTCTTTATGCACACTGATATATGTTTAGAATAGAAACAGGCAAACAACAGCCCCTGCCTGCTTTGTGACTGAAGGCTCCCTGGAGCTCTGCCTACCATTTGTTCTGCCGTGTCACCATCACAACAGAAGAGTTGAATAGATGTAACAAGAACTTATCACCTGCAAAGTTGCAAATATTTACTATCTGGCCCTTTAATAGAAAGTGTGTGCCAACTGTTGCCTTAGAAAATTTAAAAGAAACACACATAAACTGTAAGTGCTGCCTTGAAGAAATGGGAACTGGGACCTAGGATGTCAAAGAGACCAAGTGTACTCTTCTTCATCTTTCTGTACTCTTTCAAGGTTTCTGTGCCACAAGACTATATGGCTTTGAGAACGATAATTTACGAAAGTGCTTTCAAACTGCCTTACGTTTTAGAAGGCCACCGTCACTGCCCTCAACTCCCTGGGAACAGCGGCACTTGGCACCGGTGCGTGCCACCTCCCTCTGGATCAGGAAGCAGCCAGGCTCCCCTCATAACGAACCGCGAGCTTGTCCTTGGAGGCAGGTGCAATGGGCACAGGCAGCCCCAGGGACACGCCACATACCTGGTCTTGTTTCCCCCAGATGATCTGCGTAGGGACCTTAATCTTGTCCATGTTCTGATGGAGGGAGTATCTCGACTTCTCACTGACGATTTCCAAAAACACTTTGTAGGGAAGGAAAATAAAGTGAGTGTGGGCTGTGCTGTGGACACCACCAAGTATAGGAAATATATAGTGTATATGTATATATAGGATATATACAGGGTATATAGTGTTTAAGTCTAAGGCACTGCATCTTTCTCGAGGGGTTCCAGAAAACTGTCAAAGTCTCAGAAATGTAAGGAATAAGAGCCAGCCACCCAGAAGATGTGTCACAGGCTCAGAGGTCAACACAGGTCTACTTACGCTTTCGGTAGAAGGTGTTGTGAGGGATGCGGACGTCGACAAGGCCCTGCAGGATCTAGGGATAAATAACTCAAAGTCAGAAAGCGAGGGAAAATTGGTATCCTCAGGCCTCAGAAGGGTCTGGGACAAAGAGGGGAAATCAAAGGCCAGCAGTTTCGGGTGTTGTCAAGGTTTGTAAGGCCTGGTCTCCAAATTCCCGTGATGGCCATGCAATGTAATGGGGACTTAGGTTCATAAGAGGCTTTCTTTCTTTCTCCAAAGGAAGGAACTCTGGGAATAACTATGAAGCCAAAGGACCCCAGTGGCCTGTAAGCTGCTTCACCTATGAGGAATTCTCTGCTTATCCTGAGACATAATCAGAATGAAAATAATTTCAAGTAATTACTCAGTAATACCCAATATAAAACAAGGTCTATTAAAAAAACTTAACTATTGGGGGTGATGGGCCTCTTGAGCAATGAAGAAATCAACCACTAGGGAAGTTCTGGGAAGGCTTTCGATGTCCTGAGCTCACTGTATGACACTGGCCAGGCCCCCCCTGCTGCGGGCTGTGGGGCTGCAGCACATGCTGACAGGCCAGGGCTCCTGAACCTGGGAGACCGACCCGGAGAGGTGCTGGGGCCAGAAGGAACATGGCCCGCCTCTTCCCCCACCTCAGGGGTCTTGAGGTAGGGTCCAGGGGTCACACCAGCAGCCGTCAGTCCTCTCATTTCCCTAGGAATGGACTGAACCCCTTCAACACACTCTCAGGAGTCCTGTGCACTGACTGAAGCGGGAAGACCCAGTCATAACTGCTCTGGACGAAACCCACCCGCTGGAGCATCTGACTATTCTGGAAGTGGAAGCCCAGAGGTGAGACCAATGGCAAACTGTCCAACACAGTGTGCTCAGCATCAGATATTTCCTTTGTTCTACTATCTGTCCTGTACCCATGCATCTCTCCATCTTGCATTCAGCCATCCACCCTCCACCTCTGCTCCACACTCCTGCCTATCCAACCATCCTGCATCTCTGACTCAGACACGCACATGTTCATCCATGTGTCCACTTAGCCTGCAGCAACCCATCCACCCTCCATCCCTGGTTCATGTAGACATCCACGTATCCATCACCCACCCACCCTGCACCTCTGAATCACATATGCATACATCTACCCATGTATCCATCTGTCCTGCATCCACCAATCCATCACCCTCCATCTCTGCCATTTCCAGACACCCTCCCATCCATTCACGCATTCGGCCATCCATCTCTCCGCACCCCTAAATCAGTGATGTATGCACATGCATCCATTCATGCACCCCTCTACCCTGCATCTACCCACATATCCATTCTCCATCCCTGCGTTGTTCAGGCTTCCTCCCGTCCACTGATCCATCCACTCTATACCTAGGACCTATCTCATGCAAGCACTTTGCCATAGGCTGGGAACAGAACCACCAAAGACACAGTCCTTGTTCTTACAGAGGTAGGAACGGAAGATGCAAACCAGCCAACACAGTCATTACACAATGTGACACAGCAGGCTGAGTGCATAGAGGCTCCTCCCGGCCTACAAGGGAAAGACTTTGGGATCGGCATTTCTTTTCTCCCAGTGTCTTCACTTCTCTGACAATTCAAAACATGGAATTTTCTAAAACCCTACTTGGTTACTCTATTCTGGAAAGAGATCAGTGCTAAGAGAGGATCAGTGTAAAGTCATGACTGAAAAGAGAACTTCATGACAGAACATACCACAGAATCTGATTCTGTGATGCTTCCTCAGAGATAGGCCGCATCTTTTAATGAGTCATGTTTACGACCTCTGCACAGAGCCCATTCTCTCAACTCCCAGGAGGACCCACCCCACCCCGAGGCAGGGTCCAGCTCCTGAAACAGAGTGAGATAATGCACTGTTGTGAGGTCTCATTCATGGACTCTCAGTTCCCCACACTGTCTCCTGCACAACCTCATTTAGACCCATGACTTTTAATATCATCCTTGGCTGATGGCTGTAATCACACAGCCCAGGCCAGACTTTCCTCAGCTCCACTCGTATTTCTGTCTACATGACACCTGCACGTGATGGCATCTCAGGGAACTTGAACTTAACACATCCACAATGGAGCTCTCGGCTGATGCTCCAAACCCACCCTCCCTCCCCTTCCCCTACTCAGAAAACACTACCCTGGGACTTCCCTAGCAGTCCAGTGGTTAAGACTCCCTGTCTCCACTGCATGGAGCACAAGTTCGATCCCTAGTTGGGGAACGAGAATACCTCACGCCACGTGATGTGGCCGGAAAATAATAAAAACTTTTAAAAAGAGGAAGAAAATACTACCTTTATCCAACTAAAGTATCAGAAGTCACCTGTGAGTCACATTCTCTCATCCTCCACTTCGCACTGGCCAGTAAGTCCTATCTCCTTCCTTCCAAAGCTTCTCGGATCTCATTCTCCACCACTCCCCAGTCTACAACACCCTCATCTCGGAATAGTACAGCACACTAATGGGCTTCTCTGCTTCTGTCTGTGTTCCCCTACAACTCTTGAGCGTTTCTCTTACTGTACTTAGAAAAACTCCAGTCTCCTTCCCATAATCTCTTAAAAGTTCTTCATGATCCAGCCTAGTGGTTCTCAAAGCAGTTCTCGGGATTATAAGACATCAAACTATTTTCATAATAACACTAAATGTCGCTTGCCTTTTTCACTTTCATTCTCTCAAAAGCATGCTGATTTTCAGAGTCTACATAATGATGGATAATGTCATCATTCTGATCGCTAATGAAATGAGTACTTGTGTATTCTTGTGTTTTTAAGTTCTCCCTAGGTTTAATTTCTAATATGGTACACATCAATAGTTACAACTTTCATAAAAAGAAGCTCTTTGGGCTTCTCAATAATTCTTAAGGCTGTTAAAAGTGCTCTGAGACTTTGTTTTCTTAAATGAGAATCTTTGATTCAGCCCTTGCATCCCATTCCAACCTCACCTCAACCCATTCTTTCCCTCACACTCTGGGCTCCAGTCACCTTGGCCTCTCCTTCCCGCATCTTGAACCTGACTGTTTTATCCATCCCTGCTCAGGCTGTTTTCTTACAGAGGCTTATCAAAGTTTCTCCTGCCTCTCAGTTTTCAAGCACATCACTATCTTCATTTCCTCTAGAAAACTTACTACAATATGAAATTATCTGTCTTGTTAATTGACTGCTTCTCCCCCTGGCCTTCTCTGTCTTATTTCTTCCCCAGGGTGCCCAAGCATAGTGTTGGACACATCACAGGCACGGCACTTGCTGAACGAATGAACGCTGAGGACAAGGAGGGAACGTGAGGGGGAAGCTGGCCCTGGCCACCTGAGCTCTGGGCAGAGGCAGGCACACTGCTGCGGAGGCCACACTACCTGCTGGGGCACCTTGAAGCGCACGTAGGAGCAGAGCTGCAGCATCTCACTCATCTCCTCCGGGGTGGTCGGGATCAAGGGGATCTTCTCTACGGCGGCCGACTCCTGCAGTTCCTTGAGCCGTTGCACAAATTTATTATCAGTTGAGTACTGCAGACCTGGGGGATCCAAACCAAAAAAGCTTGGAATATATCTACCATCTTACCAAACCCCATTTTATATAGAGAACTTCCAAAATCAGCCCAGACCTAATGTATCATAGGTGTTTTCCATTGGTAGATTTCTTTTTAATTGGTACTAGCATCCATGGTCAAAGTCAAAACCACAATTTGAGAAACAGGGAAAAAATTTTTTTCTTCAGAACATCTTAAGGGCTGGCTACGCAAACTGGGAGCCTGTAAGAAACGCAGCACTTCAGCCCCTCCCCTAAGTCTCTGACATCAGAATCTGCATGTAAGTTGCCAGGGGATTCATCTGTAGGACAGATATTAAGAAGAGTTTGAGAGTCTAGACGACAACTTGCCTGAGCCCCTCTCACATCTGTAGGGTTGAGAGGAGACCTGGTGAAGTGCATGACCAGAGAGGACTGAGTACTCCTTCCTTCAGCCTGGACCCACGTAACAATCTCTTATTTGGGGTCAGCACATAAAATGCAGTGAGAGTGAGTCCCCTTTGGAGCTGTCCCACACATTGGGGCAGAAGGGCAGGACTGCCCTCTACACAGTCCTTCTTCCTCCAGGGAACCATTAGGCAGTCCTGAGCCGAAAGAGCCTTGAGACTGACCGTTATTTTCTATCATCTGAAGCATGACACAGGAGTTCACACGAGCTAGTGTATGAAGGAGCGTAAAACTAATTTCATTTCCAACACTGAGCAAGTTTCTAGGTGTTTAACTTAGCTGAAGAGCTAGAGCTTAGAAAGAGGCAGTGGAACCCGTACTGTGCTACAGAAATCCCTATTTCATAAATCTCCTGTATTCAGCAACTCCTCTGAACCTAACGTGCGTATCGTGCAGCTCTCATGATGCATGGTCAGATTACATGATCTATTTCTTTTGGCTTTAAAAATTAATCCTAAACTAAATGTCATGTGGTATATCCTGAATTGGATCCTGGAACAGAAAAGGACAATTGTAGAAAAACTAATGAAATCTAAATAAAGCCTGAATTTTGGTTAACAATAATACACCAATGTTGGTTTCCTGGTTGTGACAAATTTGCTGTGTTATGTGAGCTGTTAAAGGTGAGAACTGGGTGAAGGGTACTATCTTTGCAACATTTCTATAAATTTAAAATTATTTCAAAGTAAAAAAAAAGTGTATCTTTTCATTTTTGCATACAAACAAATTCAATTCTAACTTTCTAATGGAAACTCAGGTATAAAACTCTTCTCTGGGCAAATGAATATACACTCAAAAAAGTCAGTCAGTTAAGATCTGACCTTTCATAAGTGATTTAAAATCTAATAACATTCCAGAAGGGCTCCAATTCTTCATTTTTTCTTGGTTGAGTTGTGCAACATATGGGATCTTAGTTTCCCAACCAGGGATTGAACCTGCGCCCTCTGCTTTGGGAGCACAGAGTCTTAACCACTGGACCACCTGGTAAGTTCCCCTCCAATTCTCAGATTTTATTATTATAAGATCAAATAACTTCAGACACAGTGCTTGAGAAAAGGAGAAGAAAAAACCCTTTGGGAACTTGCCTTCAATTTCAACGATCTTAACAGATCTGAAAACTTAACTTTCCGAATGAGTTGAAAGGCTTCAAAGATAAATTTAGTTATGTTTCAGTAGAAGGTGCACAAGTTCAGTTCATGGTAGGGTTCTAGTGGGTAAAGAAGGTAATGGATATGAGTCATATAAAAGAGGCCGTGAATATGAAAGGATTTCTCCAAAAACCACAGCTTGAGTTCTGGAGTCAGACAGCATAGGGCCAGTTCCTATCCAGGCTCCAACACTAATATAATGTGCACCTATAAAATGGGCATACTATCCTTATCTGGATAATAATTACATATATAAAAAGTCACTGAGATATACACTGAAAATCTGGACAATTTACTATGTGTAAACCATATTCAAGTAAATTACCAGGGATGAAGAGGGGAGGCAAGAGAAGGAAAAAGAGAGAAAAAATTTTCTTACTAACATACTATAAATTCAAGTATGAAGATTTATATACATATACACATATATGTATATAAATTTTAAATCCAACTTTAGTGTTCATCTCAGTGGCATATATGCTAAAACTGGAACAATACAGATTCAGATCAGCACAGCTCCTGTGCAAGGATGACATGCAAATTCATGAAGTGTTCCATATTTTAAAAAATTTTTTAAATCCAACTTCAGATCATAATTTCTGAGGACATGTTACAGCTCAAGTAGACATGGATACATTTAAGAACAGAGACACCAAATTTTGCTGATTTAAAAAAAAAAAATCTTGCAATGAGAAAAGATCTTTGAGTTTTCAGCCAAAAAAGAAAGATGCATAATAACAGTACTTTCACCTCATAAGGTTATGGCAAGGATTAAATTCATATAGAGTTTAGCTCATAAAAATTCAATAAATGTTAGATGCTAATATTATCATTATACTTCAAAGTATTTGTATGCAGTAAAGTTTTATACACTTTTTAATTAACCACCTCCGATTCTTTGTGGGACAAGGCTGGCTCTATATTTTAAAGCTCAATATAGTTACAATTATGGTTATACAACTATTGCTTGATTGTACCACTAAGGCAAACTTTTTTAGTATCTCTACAATATGGTCAAAAAGATGATTCTAAAAAGACAGTCACAGCAGAAACCACCATTGCCTTCTTCAGAGATTCAGGTCCTGCTGCGTCCACGTCACTCACAGGGTGACCTGAGTCTTACAACTCACCAGCAGGGCACACGAGGGACAGGCTGCAGACGTCTGACGGGTAGTGAGCAGCATACACCCCAGCCACGTGGCCGCCCATGGAGGTGCCCACCAGGTGGAAAGGCTTTTTGTTCAGCTTGAGGCATTCTACAAACTAGGAAGGGAAATGAGAAAGGGCCTTGGTTATAAAACTGTGGACAATGACAATGGGGATTCCAGAGTTGAAAACTTTTGTACTTCCTATGGGGACAAGCAGAAAAGGGCTATTAATGAAATGGGATCTGAAACCTACTTGATTATCCAGATGAGTCCTGTTACATACATGTACTCTTCTTTACCTGACACAGGTTATCGAGGAGTCGTTTTTAAGTGTAAAATCAACAAAGATCCCTCAAATTCATGAGCCAGCAAATTTTTAAAATAAAGGTCCAAGAGTAAATATTTTCTGCTCTGAGGGCCTATTATCTGCTGCAACTGTTCAACTCTCCTGCTGTAGCAGAAAAGCAGCTAAAGACAACACGTAAACAGGTGACTGTGGCTGTCTTCTAAAGACAGCACGTAGACAGGTGACTGTGGCTGTCTTCTAAAGACAGCACGTAGACAGGTGACTGTGGCTGTCTTCTAAAGACAGCACGTAGACAGGTGACTGTGGCTGTCTTCTAAAGACAACATGTAACTTGGTGACTGTGGCTGTCTTCTAAAGACAACATGTAACTTGGTGACTGTGGCTGTCTTCCAATAAACTTAGCTTACGAAACTTAGTGGCAGATCAAATGAAGCCCACAAGCTATAGTTTGCGGACTGGCTATAATTTACAGCACTTCCCATCCATCTAAACATCCATTAGTATAACTATCTATCCATCTGTCTACCCAACCATCCAACCATCCATTCACACAGCTATCCATCCATCCATCTATTCAACCATCCAAACATCCATTCATATAACTATCTATCCATTCATCTATTCAACCATTTGACCAACTATTCCCTACATCTACCCATTCATCTAAAAAATATTTATTGGATACCTATTACGTACAAGCAACCATGGTCAGTTGCTCAGGATACAGCAAATGGTCAAAGAAACAAGGTTCCTTGCTTCCAAATAATACACAGTTTAAAGAGAGGAGAGGGGTAGACATTAAATAAACATCCTTGAATGGAGAAAATACCTAATGTCAGCTTGGAGAGTATGAACCATTAAATTTTGAAATGGTTCATGAGCCCCATGACTTTGAAAGCTCAGTCAGAGAGGGCTGAAGAAAGATACTAAATCAGAACAAAATGAAAAGGTCACCCTCCCCATCCTCCACAACTAGGCAGACATGCTGTCACCATCATCAAGCAGCTGGTAACCAGAAAAATACACTCTAAAAAATAAACGGTCTTGAGGAATTCTAAACTCCCTTTGAAGAGTTGAGAAAATGAGGCTGTATTTCTCCAGAAACAATTATAATAGGTTTAGAGAAGTCGGCAATAAGCCCTGGCCCTTTACAGCTGACCGAGGATACCACTGGGCTGCTCCCATTTTGTTTGCAATTATGAGTCACAACGGAGCCCGCACTGACTGTTCTTCAGACCTGGGGATGCAATGGTGGGCAAGCCCCGCCTGGGCAGCTTTTTGGTGGTGCTTCCCTGCTTACCTGGTGTATCCTCTTGACTTGCCCATCTATGGACAGGTCATCCAGTGAGGAGCGGGTGGTGCCCTCATGTCCTGGCATGTCCACGCAGACCAGGTGCAGGTTCTTCGGGAGGAACTGAGGACACAGGCCCAGGGAGTCAGAATGTGGTGTGCAGAGCATGTCTGCCCATGTTTCTGGGGAGGCTCCCCCATTTACCAAGGGACCTGGACGGCCTCCCCACTGGGGAGGTAGGAATCTAAACCACCCCCTGTCTTCCCCTAGTAACATCTGACATGAATAAACACTGCCAGGAGCCTTACAGAGAGCAGAAGCCCCCAAAGTCTAATACACAATGGGAGAGGACTGGGGATGGCTGGAAAGGGGAGAACAGAGGTCAGGGGAGCAGGCCTGCATCCTTTGCTCTTTCTTGACACCAGTTGGCAGGTACTACCCCCTTCTCCCTTCCCTCATCCCTTCTATGTTTATCCCAGTCTCGCAGCCACCAACTTGGAACTATTAATACACTGGGCGATTCTGTTCTCCCAGAGCCCGGCCAGCTCCAGAGTCCACAGAAGCAATACTTCTCCTAAGAACCATGTCTGATCGCCCTAGTTCTGCTCTCAACTCCTTTTTTTTGTTTGTTTTTAACATTAAGATCTAATTCCTTAGGGATTTTTATCCTAAACACCTCCTTCCATTTAAATATATGCTACATTTAACCAGGAGTCTGAGATATATCAGCTATCAATAAACAACTAACCAGTTATATGAAAGATGAAGTGGAAGTCAGAGGTTCATTAAAGCATGATGACTGTCCTCATACTGAACTTTGGAAATAAGAAACTAGGGGATGTGTGAGCCTCTTTGTCCTAATGTAGAGCATGCTTGGGATTAGTCAGGTCCTGCTTGAGGCGGGAGCCTGAGGTCCTTCTCTGCCAGACCTCTCCCAGCTCCCATCTTCACCAGCTGTTCACTTTTACCAATAAAGCAAGCTGACACAACCAAATAAACCAGGACAGAAAGTGAGTGATTTGAGAAACCATCCCAGAAAGCTGTCAGATCAAGACTGCTTCTCTAAAGGGCTAAAGAAAAGAGAAAGCAGAAATGGAAGATGGGGAGAGAGAAAGAGAAGCAGAGAAGGGAAGAGAGGGGAATCTTGGAGTACACAGAAATGACTTTTTAAAACCTGGACTTTGATAGTCATAACAGTCCGAATATGAAGCAGAGTATCAGAAACTTCCCAAAGAAATAGTCATAAGGTGAAACGGCTGGTGAGGCACTGGTTTTATAAATAACATTCAGCTCAGTAAGTTCTGTCTGATAAAAGGATCTGAATAATATACTGCATTAGTTTAGGGTGATTTGAGCCTTAGGTGATCATACTGGGTTCCCTCTGCTTTCTACCACTGCTGATGACATCATATTTAAGTAGAAGCCCCTCTTCTTTTTTTTTACTGAGTGACGCCCTCTGAAGAGGGAAGGCTCTAGCACCCCACCTTGACCATGCTGAGCCACATGTCTTTGTGGGCAGAGAACCCGTGGAGCATGAGGACGGAAGGTTTGTGGCTGGGCCTGCCGCGGAAGGAGTAGCAGAACTGATAGTCTTCGTGGTGCACATAGCGGACCTGCATGCCCAGCGTCCTCCGCCAGTACCTGGTGATGGAAAATACAGACTAAATCAGTCAGCAAGCGCCAGAGAAGCAGCTTTGGGAGGTGGACTCTGTACAGCTTTACTCTGAAGAGCGAGCAATGATTCTCCCAGCCCTCGTCCTCTACACAGTCACCCTTGAGGACCACCAAGTCAGGCCATTCCAGAAAGTACCTTACGTGAATATTCTGGTATAAATGTTCCTAAGCACGCTATCAGGAAGGGAAAACGGGACGTTTTCTTAAGAAGCAAGACACACAATAACCCTCCGTTAATACGTGTTTCTAGTAGTTTGAATCGCAGGGCAAAGAAGGCTGTGGGACCTCACGGGTGTGTGCCTTGCTCAGTTGAGCTTCAGGAGAATTCAAAACAGCTGGTGGTAAGGCTGGGAAGGGCTCTGGAGAGGTCAAGACAAAGGTGGTTTCCCCTTGTGGAGAGCTGGCTGGCAGCTCCTGGTGGGCGATGTTCACTGACACCTGACATCTGGGCCGAGCAGCCGTGGACTCGCGGGCCTGAGTGCCGCAGGGTGCAGTGCAGCTGACCTGGAAGACCTTACCACAGAGGTACTTTAATTGGTAGGAAATGCATCAAAAGACTTAAAGGTAAAGTGTGCTCCCTCTTGTCACCTGCAACTTGCTATTTGTGGAAATGCGGAATCAGACTCTGTCATCAAGGCTGCCACTGCTGGTGGAGGCGTTACTCCGCACCCACACATCCCTGTATGGGAAGAGAGCAACTGGAGACCGGCTGGCGGATGTCTGAACTCCTTGCTGTCTCAGGACTCCACACACCTCACAGCCGTCGCCTTGAGTGGTCCCAGCGACTGCTTCTCTGTGAGAAACACATTCGCCTGTTTGTGATTCTATCTAAACAAGCTGGTTTCAACCAACAAAATCTCTGCATTTGAGTCTTAGCCTTATTTATTTATCTATTTTTGGAAATTTGTTTTCACTGGGACACAGGGGATGGGTTGTGAAACATCTCCGTGGGCCTGAACTGTCAGTGAAACATCCGTTCTAGTCTTCCTGGGACAGCTTTTAGGAAATGTCTCGTCCCTTGGAGCTGATGCTCTTGCTGGCAGCAGCCTCTTCAGGTCCACTGGTTACAGTTCCTCCCTGGAGGAGAATCTCCCCCTTTTTCTTGGGGACACTCTTGTTTCCTGACTCTTCAGGGTCACTAACTGATTCCTCTATCGGGAAAGATCTGTTCCTCTGGGAAGACTTCCACCACCAGCTGTCTCTTCAAGATCACCATTAACCGGCTCCTCCTTGGAAGAGGATTTCTTTTTCTTGGGTTTGGAGAAAGATACAGATGACTCTTCCATTCTATTCTCCTGATGGGGCTCCTGAAGCCTCCACTTTCTTCTTCTTCGGTCTTGCACGCATCTCCTGGTCCTCCTCCTGAGCACTGCTTTAGTTTTCCAAAGATGCAAGGGGAACTGCAACAACACTTTCTTTTTCTTCTTCAAGCATTTCTTCTCCTGTTTCTCCAGCTTCCTAGTAATCTCAGCGTCGGCTTCCTCTGCCTGAACAATTATCTCTATCACAACATCCAGATTCCTGCAGGGCACCTCTTCAGTCTCACAGAAGGACAGCTGCTCCTCAACTTGCTCTTGAAGCTTCTCCACAAATACAGCTGAGGGCACCTCAGAGAAGCAATCAGTTTATAAGGTGATACAGCATTTGTTTGCCAGGTATTGGAGATGCGGCCTTTGCTTTTGATGGCTGCCTGGCCAATAAACGTGGAGTGGAAGATGAGGACATATTTTGGGGTGTTATCCCTTGTCTTCAGGGCTTTGGAAACTTGGTCCCTTTCCTGGGTCCAGAGAAGCACTTACAGACCAGAAGTGGCCAAACAGGCTTCCTCATATTTAAGTGATACTCTGGTTTCAAAGAAGCTGATTGTTCTCAAGAATTGGATTTTAATTGACAGAAAATCAAACCACAAAAAACAGTGTGGATTTTAATTGTGATGCAGAATATGGTGACACACATTTGATTTTGCAAAGACATTATTTCCACTATGGTACATAAACTCAATAAAAGTCACATGCCCTCCTCTGCCTTCCACTCCAAATATATTTTTCCTACAGACTTTGGCAGTGAGAACTTGTTTCTTAAGAATTATTTCATCTGTTCTCTGGTTTCACTCCTTACAACATATGGTTGAAAGCTCAGCTTCTGTTGGTTACATAAGACTTGGCAGTGCTGGAGTTTGGCCTGAAAATGATTTCAGTATGAAATTACCATCTAAACAAAGTGAACACTCTGCATGAAGAATCAAGATGCAAGATAATTAATTCAATCAGAGATGGACTTTGTGGTATACTTTGCACCAAAGAGGTAGCCAAGACATGCAATAGCAAATAGCCTAAGTGGATCAGCTTTAAACGCTTTGTATAAAATAAAGGGAGAGGGAGAGGAAGATATATATTTATATTTACTTGTACTTGCATACAAAAAAGCATGGGATCATATACAAGATGCTATTAAGATGAGTATCTGGAGCGGAGGTATGAAATACTCTTGAGAACTAGGTAGGTGGAGAGGGAACAATGGTGGGAGGGAGACTTACCATGTTCTTTTTAGTGCTTTTTTAATGAATATATTGCCTACTCAAAACATTAAAGATACAATAAAATTGGCTAGCTTAACAGCTCTCTTTATGACAAAATATGCATATTTCAAAGTTCTAAGTCATGACATGGTAACATGAATTTGTTCACTCATTTATATCCCAGCTCATTCATTTTTTGGCTATATGACTGTGAAACTCAATTTCCTCATCTACAATATGGAAAAGTGTTGCATTTTACTGAGGATATGGTTAAGACTAAAAGAGATAATCCGGAAAAAAAATTTTTTTTTAAAAGAGATAAGCCATTACAGTTTTGTTCAATGCCCAACACACAGGAAGTAGACAATAAAAGGCAGTTTCAGTATTATATAAAAAAGATTCTTCCCTTCAAATATATCATTTGCCAAAATTCAAGGGAAAAAATGTGGAAAACTTTGTAACACATATGACAGCCATATAAGTGGAATCATACAACATCTGTTCTTTGGTGACTGGATTATTTCACTTAGCATAATGCTTTCAAAGTTCATCTATTGTCTACAGTACATCAGAATTATTTTCCTTTGTAATGTTGAGAAATATCCCACTGTACGTATATACCACATTGTGTTTATCATTCATGGGTTGATGGACATTTGAATTATTTCCATTCTGTTGGCAATTATGAATAACACTGCTATGTACATTGGTAAATAAGGATCTGTTTGAGTCCCTGCTTTCAATACTTTGATGTATATACCCCGAAGTAGAACAGTTGGATCATACAGTAATTCTGATGGTGTTCCCCCAGTGGCTCAGCGATGTAGGAGAATCTGCCTGCAAGCCAGGAGATGCAGGTTTGATCCCTGGGTTGGGAAGATCTCCTAGAGGAGGAAACAGCAACCCCCTCCAGTATTCTTGCCTGAGAAATCCCAAGGACAGAGGAGCCTGGCTGGCTGTAGTCCATGAGGTTGCAAACAACTGGACATGACTGAGTGAGCGCACACACACACAGAGTAATTCTGTGTTAAACTTTTTGAGGAACCTCTAAACTTTTGCATGGTAGTTATACCACTTTACATTTCTACCAGCAAAGCGCAAGGGTTCCAACTTCTCTACAAACTCACCAAAACTTGCTATTTTTCATTTTTTAAAAACACCTATCCTAATGTGTGTGTGATATATCACTGAGGTTTTGATTTGCATGTTCCCTATTAACAAGGATGTTGAATATTCTTTTTTTTTTAATAGAAATACAGTTTATATACCATAAAATTCACCCTTTTAAATGGTACAACTGATGTGTTTTTAGTGTTGATAAAGTTATACAACCATCACCACTAATCCTGGAACATTTCCATCAAAAAGAAACTCAACTACCTACTTAAAAAGCAGTTGAAATGGTAAATTTTGTATTGTGTATATTTTACCACAATAAAAAGAGAAATAAATCCATACCCATTATCACTCACTTCCCATTTCCCTCCCCTTGCACCTCCTGGCATCCACTAGTTCACTTCAAGTCTCTATGGATTCTACACATTTTCTATAAATGGGTCTATTCAATATGTGGCCTTTTGTGTCTGATGTATTTTACTTAACATGTGTTCAAGTTCATCCATTATAGAATGTATCAGTACTTCATTCCTTTTTTTTTCAGATTTCAAAAAGTGATTACAGGATTTTCTATTAAATGGTAGTGATACAGAATTCTATCATTTTCTGTTGACCCATCATGATACAATAGTGGTAAGCAAATAACAGTTACATATCCACAATAGTAAAAGATGCTCAGTTTTCACAATCAATAGCCAGACAAAAAATAAAAGATAATTACAGTTGCAAGCCATAATGGAAACATGATTAACCTAACTATATAAAATACTTACATACAATTTGGGGGGTTAAGTAGAGTGATGTGTTAAGTAGAAGTGCATATGTACATAGGTTTTCACCTGCGCAGCCACTCTACATCTTTTGGTTGGTGCATTTAATGCATTTACATATAAGCTTACTCCTTGGAAGGAAAGTTATGACCAACCTAGACAGCATATTAAAAAGCAGAGACATTACTTTGCCAACAAAGGTCTGTCTAGTCAAGACTATGGTTTTTCCAGTAGTTATGTATGGATGTGAGAGTTGGACTATAAAGAAAGCTGAGTGCCAAAGAATTGATGCTTTTGAACTGTGGCGTTGGAGAAGACTCTTGAGAGTCCCTTGGACTGCAAGGAGATCCAACCATTCCATCCTAAAGGAGATCAGTCCTGGGTGTTCGCTGGAAGGACTGATGCTGAAGCTGAAGCTCCAATACTTGGGCTACCTGATGCGAAGAGCTGACTCATTTGAAAAGACCCTGATGCTGGGAAAGATTGAGGGCAGGAGGAGAAGGGGATGGCAGAGGATGAGACGGTTGGATGGCATCACTGATTCAATAGACATGAATTTGGGC